TGGCTCAGGAACGCACCGCCTACAGCCAGCTCAGGAACGATGGCTCAGGAACGCACCGCCTACAGCCAGCTCAGGAACGACAGCTCAGGAACGCACCGCCGACAGTCAGCTCAGGAGCGCACCGCCGGCGGCCAGCCCAGGAACGCGCCGCTGTTAGCTCAGGAACGACAGCCCAGGAACGCACTGCCAACATCTCAGGAACGACAGCTCCGGAACGCACCGCTGACAGCCAGCTCAGAAACGATAGCTCAGGAAGCACGGCTACCGACTTACGGTGGGCAATGAGACGCAATCCAAAGCATTTGTAACAGCACATGGAGCATAAATGCATTAATAAACGGCCCAAACAAGAATGATTTTGCGTGGTGCGGCAAAAAAAGGCGAAAAGATAAACGCATTAACATATCATAGATCACGCTCTCATACAGGTTTCAGGTTTAGCATATATGTTCTCAAAGAATGCCGCACGCACTCTACAGATCTTTCAGAATCTGACGGACGTGAGAATCTGAACACTTTAAACACTATACACATTTAGACGGCTTGTATAATCAGTACTGATGTGCCGGAGTCGATATCGTAACCTTTTCAGAACATGGTAACGTTGGGTCAGGTCAAAGGTTACCAAAAACGCACAAGCCCACCAAAATTGGCTGCAGACAACCTCATGCTCAAAGCCTATTGGACCGACCAGCATGAAACCTTCATCCATCGATGTGCCATGGCCGATATCCCACCCTTTCTAACCTTAGTGACTTTGAGCCAGGTCACAGGTCACCAAAAATGCCCATAATCACCAAAATTGGCTGCAGATAACCCCATGCTCCGAGCCTATGGAACTAATCAGCATGAAACCTTCATCATTCGATGGTACTTGGTCGATAACCCAAGGATAAGCATGAAACATTCACTAAGCGATGCGCCATGATCGATATCCTCTTCTTTTCAGAACATGGGTAACCTTGGTTTAAGTCAAACGTCATAAAAACACCCAAACCAAATTTTTCTGATTTTGGGCGTTTTTGCGACCTTTGACTGAATCAAGGCTACCATGTTCCGGAAGGCATATGGTATCACTATGGCACATCGAATGGTGAAGGTTTCATGCGGAGCGGTCAGATCTAGTGGGCTCGGAGCAAGGGTTTGTACACAGCCAGTTTGGGTAATTTTGGGCGTTTTTGGTGATCTTTGAAAAAGCTCAAGGCTATCATGTTCTGAAAAGGGATGAATATCGACTATGGCACATCAATTGGTGAAGGTTTCATGCTGATCGGTGCGGTAGACGTGGAGCATAGGGTTGTCATAAGGTCGGTCATGGATCATGTTGGTTGAGGATAACCATATAACCATTTACTTGACTCAAGGTCACTGCCCTATTTGACGGATAGGTTATCAACCAATCGGCATCGAATGGTGAAGGTTTGGTGTCGATCAGTGCCATAGGCTCGTCACCAAATTTAGAACTGCAAGAGGGAATCAGGCATGGGACATCTGATGGTGAAGGTTTCAGTAATCGGTTCGGTAGGTTCTGGACCATGGGCGTAGGAACAGGGGGGGGGGGGGGGAGGGCCAAGGCGGCCATGCCCCCCCCCACACTTTTCAAGGTGGGGGCTAGCAGTGTTAACTATCCCCCCCCCACACACTTTTCAGATTAAGGCTGTGTTTGGCTTACTTTTGCACTACAGTAAACATATATGCCGATTTGCCTAGTTTATCAGCCACCTTCCTCAAGATGCGTCATCTTTTTCGGTTGCTCATTGGCCACCACTTAGTACTACAGCGACAGGCCGACGCCGGGCGGCCTATGGATACTGCAACGCCGGTATTGAGGCTGTTGTTGTTATGACTTGCGAGTGCGTATGTTCAGACCATGTCACATAGCTTTTATCAGTGCTCAATTCTGACTGAAGCTTGAACATTTTAAGACGAACATGGATTAGCTATGCTCATAAAAATTTGGGACCCCCATTTCATTTACAATCTACGTTCAGGAAGTCCTCAGTATCTCTGAAGAACACAAAAAAGGAACCGGAAGTCCTATAAGACAATCACATTGGACACCTGCGGCGATCAGGGATATTGTTGAGTCAAGTGAAGGTTTTCTGTGCTGATCCAGGGCCAACTGCCTGTGGTCAGAAGCCTCCGGTGTCAGGCGAGGGAAAAATACGTTATATATATCCTTCTAATGGCCTCCGGATCGATCAGAAGATCCTACCCCGCGTCACCAGAATGACAGCCAGAAGGCCACTTTGCGATGGGACGGAACAGCCCCTTCAGCACTTGACCTGAAACGTTAATGTGCCCCCGGGTGGTTCAACTCAAGGAGTCCTTGCCTGGAAGAAAATAAGGGGTCTCAATATTGTTGAGTAGAGTGGTGGCCTCATTACTGTTGAATAGAGTGGGTTGAAAGGAATTAGAAGAAAACGAACAAAGCCATCCCATGTTTGCCTGGAACGCTCATTTTTTCAGGATGGATTAGTAAAACAACTTATATCGGCACGTCTGGACATGCCCGCCTGCATCCTCGAGTGCAAGGACAGTGATGGCCTGGGTTGCAGCTCGGTAAATCCGAACGGCATCGGCCACTGCAACTGTCACCAGACGGCGGGACCTTGGTAATCTGTCTTCTGGACAGATTAATAGTCAGAGAAAACGAAAAATAGAGATTCTACATTTACTCTTCCAATTCCCCGGCCAGATTCTAGCATCACTTTGTGGTGCTTTAGGGGCCAATCCGTTCTTATCATCAGTCTGAAAATCGCGCAAGTGAAATATGCGTCCAGACTGTCTTCTAAACGTAAGATTTGATGTCCTGAAGCGTTCGGAGGTACTTCTTTCAGAAGCGTCCTTATTTTCGAACACCCGGTGGCCCACGGCTTAATAATGGCCGTGTGGGCCGACGCTGCAGCGGCCTCGGGAGACGACCTACGGGCTGGCGTCGAGTGACCGCAAGAAAGACATAACTCAAGTACGGGCCTTTAGGGATGCAGGTACTCTCATGTAAGTGCCCTCTCGGTAAACTGTGTCCATAACTGTGCTACACGAGGCAGTGGCCATGCTGTTTGCTGACACTTCCTGGACTGCTAGTACCACATCAGATGCTCTCATATTCGATTCGAACCTCAATAAACACCCTAAAACAAAGATCAAGTTATTTAGTCAGTATCAAAATCGTATGTAATGTAATAATCACCACACGCTCAGGTCGTTGGGCACTGATCTAGAAGGTATTGAAATCCAGCTCCTTTTCAGGGGCTATTCTGTACAGGGACACTGCCGCTAACGGTGGTCGCCTCCCGCAACAACACTGGAAATATGGTAACGTCAAGAAAATAGTTTTGGGCGGGAGAGACGGTGACGACGGCAAAGGCAAACAATCGCGCTGAACAACGGTGGCAAGCGAGCAACACCTAAAATCTGTTGAAGTGTTTACTGAGTGGAGCATGCGGTGCAATGATAACAGGAAGTGCATGTTTCTGTGCAAAAGGGTGCGTGTTGTCGAGGCATTTGTCGGTCAAAATTACATGATGAATAAAACTTTGACCTGACTTACTATCCGATGACATGAAACGGTCCGGGCTGGAAATTACGACGGGGATCGATAACATCAGATCAGATATGAAATGGTATGACCGTGAAGTTCAGCTGTGGGCCCACCTGGGATGGGCTAACAAGATTCCATCTTGACTAGCATATGGGATCCACATCTGGGGCTGGTCACAGGGGTCCCATCTGGGCATGGTCACACTGGGTCGCAGCTGGGACTGGCCCCGTATGGGTCCCAACTGTGTCACCCAGGCGGGTCCGACTGGGAGTCCCAGGTGGGTCCCAACTGGGCTGCCCAGGTGGGTCCATGGGTGTCCCAGCTAAGCCCCACAAGGGGCCCACATGGGCTTCCATGTGGGTCCCAGGTTGGTCGCCGCCCATGAACTACCCGTATGGGCCCGAGGTAGCATACCCACGTGGGCCCTATTCAGTTGCCCATCTCGGACCCACATGGGTTCCGGTTTTAAACATTGGATGGGCCCCATGTGTGCCCCAGTTAGGCCCCACGTGGGCCCAACAAGGGTCACCCATATGGGTTCCAGGTGTTTGCCCATGACGTGCCCATATGGGACCGAAGCGTACAGCCCGGGTGGGCCCAATATGACTGTCCAGCTGGGACCCATATGGGTCCCAGTTGGACATGTCGGCTGGGCAATGTCCAGGCCGTATTTGGCATTTACTCTGTGGAGGCGGTTGCCTCCTCAACGACCGAAAATGCCTACCCGCGCGTGAAATTTCGCCTAGGCAGGAAAGACAATGTTGAAATGAAAGAATAATTCTTTGAAGCTGGGCGGCCTCATTTGCCGAATGACAAAGACGAGTCGAACAGGCAAGATTGTGAACCGGTGAGAAACAGCTCTAGGTGCATTTCTAGCAAAACAGCCATGACATTTGAATGAGGAACGATAGCAACCTCCATCTCCTACCCCCTACCCCCCCCCCCCCGGTTATCGGGCTTGCTTTCCTGAAAAAGTTCCTGAATCACGCCCTGAGCTTGGCCCCCCCCCCCCACACACTTTTCGAAACGCTCCCACGCCTATGTTCTGAGCCATAAGTTGTCTGCAAGCAAGAATTTTGGACCTCGCGAAATTTGACGACTTTTGACCTGATCTAAGCTCACCAAAGTGGGAACTGCAAGAGGGAATCAAACATGGAGGCATCCAATGGTGAAAGTTTCAAGGCGGTCGGTGCAGTAGGCGCTGAGATATCAGTTGCCAGCATTTGCATGTTAAATTTCTCCTTCCCGTCATTTGCGATGTTTAACTTCAGGTTAAGTCTTGATATTACCTCCATATGACTTGCTTCATTGCACAAAATTGAGTGGTGAAGGTTTTAAGGCGATCGGACCAGCCGTTTCGCAGAACTTGCGTGTCTGCGTCATATGCCTGTCTTTTAGACCCTATCCCTGAGCACACTGTTATTATTGGGCACTTGAGCAGACCGGCATTCTCCACGTACACGTCGCTGGTGCTTTTCCGAGTGGGGGGTCGTGTGGATGGAAGGTACTGTGTACTGGACTAAAAGTGTGGGGACGTCGACTTGGAGAAATGCCATCAATGTGTCTGTGTCTGTTAACGTCAACGGCTACACTGACCACTTGCACAAGTCCATTTTGTACCGTTTCAGATGCAAGCAGTCAATAGTTATCCCTCACTTTGTGATGCTTTTTCTTGCAGGTGCACAATATGGATGAAGAACCAACAATCCTTAAAACTCTTGGAGAAGATGGTGAGAGTAAAATGGTTACTGTTCAACTGGATGGGCTCATGCAGGCGAATCCTGGCATAGATTATCCTGGAATTATTGGGCTAGTTATAAAGTCATTGCTTAACCTAGTCATCTTCTGCTCTGTTTGAATGTGGCCGCCAAGAAGCTGTTGGTGCCTGGTTGAGCTTTTTGTCCATGGCATTATAAGTTGTGGGGATTAAAGGTACCTGAGAGATGGAATCAATGCTTGATTGCTGAAAATAATTTGCTGTAACTAAGAAATGTGTTTTGCTTGTTCAGAAGGTGGATCTGAGATGCAGCTTCGGGGAGATAGTCCTGACTCGGAGGGTGGGTCAAAGATAAAAGGCTGGCATCCCTTATGTATGTATCTTTTACATGCTCAGGTCACTTGTCTTGTATAAGTTTTCCAACTTCATTCATTTTGGTGGCATGGGCTGTTTGTCTCCCCCCTTGATTCCACCCTTGTCCTTATGTATTATGGGCATATTTGGCCAGGATAAAATATGCAACCAATAATGTTCTGCCTGATAGTAGCCCACTGCAATTTTGGATTTAGTTTTGGCAGGTCTGAAAATTATTCCCCAGTTTCATATGCATGATGATTGCCAACAGTCATTAGGCAGGCATTGCAAAAATGTTACCATCTTAGCAATGGTAATATTGTTGCAGGCATTGCTGAAATTTTGCCATTGCTCCAAAGATTTTCAGAGATTTTCCCTTGGCACTGGTAATTATCCAATTAAACTTCCCATCATGGCAATGGTAAATTCTATCCAGAAAATTGTATTATGCTTCAAATAATTATTCAAGGTTTTCTGCCAGTCAAACCTAGGCACTGGCATATATGCCAGCATATGGTGTTGTGTGCCCACAGTGTGCCTCCCAATGATAGCATGGTAACATTGCTGTGCTGTTTTCTGTAATATCAGGTGATCAGGATCAGGCACAGAAAGCACAGGCAATTCATTGACTATGGTCAGCATTGTTTAAACATCAGTGATGCTGTTGATTACAGGGGTCTACAGCAAGTTTTTGGGGGCAGAGTTTGATGTTAACAAGGAGGCAAGCACCCTTCTGCAGTCAGCTGCTTTGTCTGAGCAGCTGGGACACATCATTAAAGGTTTGTGTTTTATTTGGGGCTTATAACCTGTCCATTGCACAGGCAGCCTCACACTTCTGTTTCCAGAGTTACCAGGTTAATTGATGCATATTGCAAAGGTGGCCTTTGTGAACAAATTCGAATTTTGAAGTCACCACTGCCAGAGCACTCATGTGAAACAGCCAAACTGAAAAGATGCCTCATATATTATGTTATGAAGCTGAAAATCTCATGTGGAACTGCCCACAACTTATCTGGATGTTATTTTTTCTCCCGTGTGCTGTGGCTTGGGTTGTGAAGGATTTCCCCTCCCCCTCCCCCAAGAGGCTGGTTCGGGTGGCGAGGGTGACGCGCTCTGACCTGGGCAGGATCGCGCTGCTGGACGGCGAGATCGCCGACCAGGTCAGCGCCCACTACGAGGAACCTGCTCTCACAGGCCACTGGCACTGAGACGCTGGATGACGTGCTGCAGTCGATGCTGACCCGCATACAGGTGCGCTCCATGGCCGGACTGCCGTGGCGACCGGGGGGGGGGGGGGGGGGGGGAGGGAGGAGGGGCCGGGGGCTGGGCTGTGCAGCTCTCTGGCATGGTCACTATTTTGACTTTCTCAGCTGCTATGGGTAGATTTGAGGCCATGGATGTACTGCTCTGTTTTTAGCGAACTTGTGTAATGGGGTTTGTCGTGGAGGTGAATCGACCATGGCAGAGGTGCAATATGTCGTGCAGCAGTGACTGAATGGTTACTTTGCCCCGCATTGCCTCCTGATGTCGGCGGCCGCCAGTGCCGTGCCATAGGCCCGCACTATGCCGGGCCGTTGCCTGCACTGTGCTTGCCATGGCCCGTACTGTGCCGGGCCGTGACCTGTACCTTGCCGTTGTCTGCGCTGTACCGTGCCATGGCCCGTACTGTGTCGTGCTCGTGGCCCTGTACCGTGCCGTTGTCTGTGCTGTCGCCGTGCCATGCCCGTACTGTGCCGGGCCGTGACCCGTACCGTGCCGTTGTCTGCGCTGTGCCGTGCCATGGCCCGTACTGTGTCGTGCCGTGGCCTGTACCGTGCTGTGGCGTGACCCGTACTCTGCCGGGCCGTGGCCTGTGCTGTGCCGGGCAGTGGCCCGCACTGTGCCGGGCCGTGACCTGTACCGTGCCGTTGCCTGCGCTGTGCCGTGCCATGGCCCGTACTGCGTCGTGCCATGGCCTGTACCGTGCCTTACCACGGCCTGTACTGTGCTGTACCATGGCCCGTACCGTGCCGTGCCGTGCCTCGTACTGCGCTGTACCGCTGTCGGTCGGTTGATGGCGCCGCCGGCCACCGCAGGCTCTGCTAGCCGCTGTGGAGCGGCTCCGCTCCCGGGTCGAGGAGCCCTTCCTCAAGATCGAGTCGCAGAGCCTGATGCTGTCGCGGCTGCACGCCGCTTGTGACATGCTGCGCCGCCTCATCCGGCTGCAGTACCTCTCCAAGCGGCTGCAGGCGCAGCT